TGTTGTTTTGATTTGCATCTCTCTAATAGCTAATGATCGTGAGCATTTCTTCATATGTTTGTTGGCCGCTTGAATATCCTCCTTGGTGAAGTATCTATTCATGTCTTCTGCCCATTTTTTAATTGGATTGTTTGTCTTTTTGTTATTGAGGTGTTGGAGTGTTCTATAAATTCTAGTTTCTTCTTCATCTTTCTTTATATTTCCCAAATGCTCTACTACAATAAACAGTCTAACTCCAGTTTTGATATTTGACTGCTGTTATGGATTGAATTGTGTCCCAAAAATATATGTGTTGGAAATCCTAAGCCCTGTACCTACAGATGTACAAATTTGGGAATAAGGTTCTCTCTGTTATGTTAGTGAGAACACATCAGTGCAAGATGTGTCTTCAACCTAACCACCTCTGAGATATACAAGGAGCAGATAAGGCACAGAAGCAAGCAAGAACAAATGGGGGAAAGATGAATGCCACTTGGCGATCCTCCAAAAAATTCAAAAAGAACACTAAAGAAGCTAAAATGAAGATTTTCCCTCAGAGTGTACAGAGTGAGCCTTTCTTTAGACCCAGTGTCCTAAAGTCAGACTTCTAGCCTCCTGAATTGTGAGAAAATAAATGCCTGTCTGTTAAAGCCACCTTCTTGTATTTCTGCTATAGCAGCACTAAGAAACAAATACAACTTTCAAGCCTTGCCTTTCCCCTTTCTCTATGCTCCACATGTGGGCAAGCTGATAAAAAAATCCTAGGCACTCACTCCTTTGTGTTGGAAGGACACCAAGCTATGCAAGCACCTACCTATACACTAGAACTTCTACCCTAGTCCCACCATCTATCCACAATAAAAAACCCAAAGCACATCTCATTTCCCTACTCTAGCCATTTTGGGACCAGCTTGGGGGCCTGCCCTGTTATCCCCAGAAAGCCTCATCATATGAGTAATAAACCTTTTCACACTTTCTTGCTGTATATTTGACATCACCAGCCTCAAGAACTGAACCAAATTTGAGGTTGGGGATCCACCCACCTCTGTGGAGTACCTACATCTAAAATGAGCATGTCTTACTTTCACACCAAAAACCAAAGTATTATTTTAAAAAGAGAAAGCTATAACTAACTGTTCATATCAGGCAAACCTGCAACATTTTGCTCATTTCAAGATAGCACACATTTTAAGGCAGTTCAAGAAACAGAAAAATTCATTATAAGGTTGCAACTCTGGATTCAAGACCATATATGTCTACAAGAAGAACATCTTAAGCTCTGGGATTAATTGTACCTGAAGAAACATACCTGGACTCAGCAATTGGCCTTCTGTAAGTACATCTCCAAAAGGAACAGATAAAAATTGGTACTTGGGTCTCTGCCAACACCAGAATCTCTTCTTTTTGGTCACCAGACTTAGAAGTTGTAACTTGTCAGAGTCATTCAAGTTTGATAATGCAATCAGGGTACCATCAGTATCAACCTCTCTAAGAAAATTCCTTGTTGCCTTCGCAAACATTTTTATGGCTCCAAATTATCTGAAAAAATAAGGTTCTTCCAAAGTCAAATAATAAGCTATTATTTTGAGGCTTTTGTTCTAAAATTACTTCATTTTTCCCCTAGCATCAATCAGTTCACAATGAAAGAATACCTTAACTCTAAGAAAGCCTCCAGTTTGAATTCAGTTGATAACAAAGAAATTACATTAAGATATTGGGAAGGGAGTATGTGTCCCAGTCAGGATATACTAGGTTATGCTTCAAAAACAAACATCTCCCAAACCTTAGTGGCTTATAACAATAGAAGTTTATTTGTGGTTCACACTACATATCTAGTATAGGGGGAGAGAGGAGTTTTGCTCATCATAGTGATTCAGGTATCCAGAGTGATGGGACAGCCACCATCTTGAGTGCTGTTGGTCATCACCCAACGGGAAAGAGTTCTGGAAAGTTTCGTGTTGTTGTTGTTGTTATGTGCCGTCAAGTCGGACCCAACTCATAGCGACCCCTCCTTGGGTTTCCAAGGCAGTATCACTACAGAAGTAGATTGCCCAACCTTCCTTCTGAGGAGTGGCTGGTGGGTTTGAACTGCCAGCCTTCTGATTAGCAATCAAGTGCTTTAGGCACTACACTACCAGAGCTCCTAGAAAGTTTCATACCATCAGTTAAGTGCTCTGGCCCAAAAGTGACACATGTCATGTCACTCCCAAATTATCAGAATCCATCACATGGCCTCAGCCGATCTAAAGGTCAAGAAATACAACCCTTCCATGTATGTGGAAGGCAGAGAGCTAGTAACAGTTGTTGCACACCATGATTACCTCAATATGTGTCTCAGTTATGACTTCTTCTTGGAAGAGTCAAATATGCTTTTTCTCTACACTGTGTGATTTCTCCTATAGAGAAAGGAAAAGTAACTAATTACTACTTTCAAATCAGAAAAAAGTACAACCATACTACAAATGGAAGAAAAAAGAAGTTATAAAAGTACTGAATTCAGTGGAAGTGTCGAGTATTCAAAAAATAGTGTTAGAATAATTGACAAAACATTGGGAAAAAATAAAGTCAGCTTTCCATCTCACACCACACACAAGAGCAACTTCTCAATGGATTAGAAGAAAAGTGAAACCATAAAACTAGAAAAAAAATATGGACAAATACTTACATAATTATAGGATAAGAAGAGAATTTTGAAATATGACACAAAAAGTGAAAACCAAATAAAGCTATTGGTAATCTGGGCTATATTGAAATTAATAACATGAAATTTAAAAAAATGAATTATTGTGATATACAAATGGCAAACCAAGAAAATAACTTGCAATATTTATGACAGTTAGAATCCTTAACATAGAAAATCTTTTCACAAATTAAGTTTTAGAAACACTGCAATAGAGGAAGATCCAAGATGGTGGACTGGGCAGATATATTGCACAGACTCTCTATCATAAAGACCCAAGAAATCAAGTGAAACTGATATGGATGGCAATCCTAGAACCCTGAGCTTCAAAGAAAAAGATAAAGAAGATCAATACCAATTAGAAAAAGAAACTTAATGAAAACAACAAACAAAGAGACATATAGAGCAGTGAAGTGCCTACTGGCCATCGAGTCAGATCTGAATCACAGCGACCCCTCCTTGGGTTTCCAAGGAGGTATCACTATGGAAGTAGATTGCCCAACCTTCCTTCTAAGGAGTGGCTGGTGGATTTGAACCACCAGCCTTCTGGTTAGCAGTCAAATGCCTTAGGCACTATGCCACCAGAGCTCCTCCTTGGCAAAACATGGATATTTTGAATTATTGCAAGCAGGGTTCCAGTTGGAGCAGGAACCAGATAACCAGCTCTGTTCACCCAGGACAACACTGGGACCCACAATGGTGACCAGCAACCAGAGAAATGTGATCACCCCCTTTACCCTGCACAACCTCTCAGTGACCAGAGGGGGGACCCCTCCACCCTCACCACCACCACCCCCCAGTGGCCAGTTAAGCACTCCCAACTGTCCCTCCCTCACCTGGTGTTTTGCCTGGTGCACTCTCTCCTTCCCCCACATCCCCCTCATTCATCACTCTACTCTCCTGGTGGCTTCCGGTGTGCTCTGGCTGATCAAGTGCTGTAAGCCCACCATCTCAGACATCTGTGGCTGGAGCTTATGCCAATCTGTGCCACTCCCCACCCCCTTTCTTTTTTCTTTTTCTTTCTTGTTATTGATTCCCTCTTCCTCTCCTTTTTTTTCTCCTCCCCTTCCCTTCCCCCCCCCCATTAGTCAGGAGCCAGCAACTCTACTCAGCCATATCCACTACCTTGAACTATGTCAGTGGCATAAAAATAGAAAAGATTTGGTGATTTTCACCAGATGGTTAGATGTAGAGGTGGTGATAAAAAAATGGAATCTCTCCAAGATGTTCTCCAGGTTTCTTGGGTGTGGGTTGAGTAATGAGAGGAAGATCTGAGTTACCAAGAGAGGGAATTTGTGAAGAAGCAGATTGATGAGGTCAATAGGTAGTAACACCTGAGATTGTATATAGGCTACCAGTACTAGTTGCTATCAAGTTGATTCCAACTCATGGCAACCCCATGTGTGTCAGAGTAGAACTATGCTCCATAGGATTTTCAATGGATGATTTTTAAGAAGTAGATTGTCAGGCCTTTCTTCTGAGATGGCTCCAGGTGGACTTGAACCATTGGCTTTTAAGTTAGCAGCTGAGTGCTCAACCATTTGCACCACCCAAGGAACCTCTATCTAAGATAAGGTACAGGATTTATATCGCCAAACACAAGGAGAGAACCTTTAACAACAACAAAACCAGATTCTCCCTAACAACCTGTGGGAATCCATTCTGCTGTCTCAAGAAAAGAGTACAGCAGGATCTGCCTCAGTTTACCACTGGTGTCAAAGTCTCTATTTTTATGGTTTCTATTCTTTTTTCTTTCTTCTTTTTTTTTTTTTTTTTTGTTATTCTTTTCTAGAATAATTTCAACAGGAGTTTGCTCACTTGACTTCAGATCAAAGCCAAAACAGATGTGCCATTACAAAACAAAACTACACTAAATAAAACCCATCTGTTGTGGGCGGTGAAGTCTTAGCGATGACACCAATCCTCCCACGAGGGATTAAAGGATAAAAAAGGGAAATTCTAAATTAATTTTTATTATTTTTTTTTTTTCTACCTAGCATCAAACACAGCTCCATTTGCCTTCTTAACAAGACAGGTTGCTTTATGGAGTGTTACTGGAAGTGGCTATTACTTCTGTTTTTCTTAGAATCAGGCTATTTGTTCAATCATGGAAAGCTTTGAGAATATTCTCCTTGTGAAGTAATTTTTTTTATGTCTACATAAATAATAAATTTACATGGCTCAAAAATTTAAACTATACAAAAATATATACACTGAAAAACTGCATTCCTGCCCATGTCCTACTTTTTAACTCCTCCCCGCTTCAAATAACCACTTATATTAGCTCATGTTCCTTACACAGATACAAGTGAAAAATAATCTAAACATGGTTTTAAACTTTTCTTTCTGTCATATAACAATATGTCCCAGAGTGGTACCTTCTTCTTTATGGTTGCTTAGTATGTTCTACTCCCTAGTTTATTTAGTCTGCCACCACAGTGGTTCTAACTCATGGCAACCCCGTGTGTTGCAGAGTAGAACTGAGCATAGGGTTTTCACTGCTGTGACTTTTCAGAATAGCCAGGCTTTCCTTCCTAATTGCCTCTGGGTAGATTCAAGCCACCAACTTTTCAGTTAGTAGCCAAGAACACAACCATTTGCAACAACTTGTCCCTTAGTTCTAGGTTATTTCTAAAATTTTTTTATTATAAAAAAAATGGCACACTAACTATTCTATAATGTGTGTGTTCTTCATACCTGGACACGAATGTCTGAAGTGTAGGGGCCTAGAAGAGAGTTTGCAAAATGAACAGGTAATGGCATCTGTAATTTTAGTTGGCATGGCCAGATTTCCCCTCATAAGAGCTGTACCATTTTTCAGTCTCACCAGTAATATATGCAAGTGTCAGTCTCAGCAACAGAGTGCGTAATCAAGCTTTTGGTTTTTCCAGTCTGTTAGGTGAGAAACAGTATCTCAGTATGGTTTTAGGTTATGTTATTTTAATATAAATGAAACAAAGCATCTTTTACCTCATGTAAAAGCTTTTTTACCCTTTTTTCTTTTCTTTTTTACTTTTTTGTGTCTTTGGCTCGTTTTCTATTGTTGCTCACTTTTCTTATGCCCTTCCCCTTTTATTTCCAGAAACTTTTGATATAATAGATGTGGTAGTTGAGATTATGTGTCAACTTGGCTGGGCCTGGTTTTGAGTGGCTGGGCAGGAGGATGAAATACTCCTCATGATGGTACTCAGCTCCATGGGAAATCTACTGGGAACAGCTGACTAGCTGCCTTAGGGATATGGTCTGCTTCCACTACATAAGAAGAAGCTTTGAAAAATGTTTCTGAGCTTCTTGGCATATATGGCTCCTGCATTTGGTCAACTCATCAGTGAGTGGCCTGCTATGTTATTTGCAGATCTTAGGACTGTTTCTGGACTTAAACTAGTGGCCTGCCATGTTGCTTGATAATCTTGGGACTGTGCCATTTTATTTGTCAACCTTGGGTTTATCAGCCTCAGCAATCAGCAGCTGCCTGAGTTAAAAGACACCTCCAGATCCAGTGGAGGGGGGGCAACAAGCAGAGCTGAAGCCCAAGGTCAAGGGGCCTTCACCCAGCCCTAGAACTGGCACTTTGAACTCAGACTTCTAGCCTCCTAAACTATAAGAGAATAAAACCCTGTGTCTGTTATACCAGCACTAGATAACCACAACAACAGAGATCAGCCAAAATACAGGCTAGAAATTTAATACAAAAGATTTTATAGCATGGCATTGGGAAATAATAAGCTGTCACTGTCGTTCTCAAACATCTGAAGTAACTGGTCTATTATAAAAAGTCAAGAAAATGCTCACACAGAGAAAGAAACATTCTTTCATGGTTACCAGGGATGAGAGGGGATG